TCAGGAAATTTCATCTATAGTGGTTTTAAGCATGCAATATCAATAGTTGGCATTAAAAATATTACTATTCTGTTTCTATCTTCTAAAATTGATTTGAAAATTTTGGTTAGAACAATTTCATCGAAATTTGAGAGAGGGCTGGGGTGGTGGTAGAGCGCTTGCCTAGCACACATGAGGCACTGGGTTTGATCCTCAGCACTACATAAAAATGAAATAAAGATATTGTGTCCACCTACAACTAAACAATAAATATTTTTTTAAAAATTTTTGAGAGAGGTATATTGTGGTGTGTGTGCATATTTATAAATACATAATCTTTAAAAATAATATCTCTGGATACTTCTGATGCTTAGGTCCTGTCAAAGACATCTTCTGTGTGGGGGATGGAGGGGTGTTGGAATCCAACTCAGGGCCTCTCACATGCTAGGCAAGTGCTCTGCCACTGAGCTACACATCCAGCCCCAAAAGATGTCTTAATAATAAGAAATTAATTAAAATAATTTAAGATTATCAAGAGAAATTTCAAATAAGACAATTCTCTCAATCAAAAACAAAGTAAACTAAGTATATTTTTAAAATATTGCTGATACAAAATAGCAAAAGTTCACAGGATTAAGAATTTTGTGGAAATCTAGAAAAATGAGAAATCATAAGTTGAATAGGAGGGGCTGGGGATGTGGCTCAAGCGGTAGCGCGCTCGCCTGGCATGCGTGCAGCCCAGGTTTGATCCTCAGCACCACATACAAGCAAAGATGTTGTGTCTGCTGAAAACTAAAAAATAAATATTTAAAAAAAAATAGATTGAATAGAAGAAATCTACTGCACAGAACTGGAAACTGGGAAGACATGGAGGATTTCCTCCTAAATAAAGACATTGCAAAATGATGCTAAAATAAGAAAAATTACAAATCAACCAGTTAGCATAAAAAAAGTTTGGACTGGTACTTAGAGATCTCCAGATGGAAAAGACTCCAGGATCACCAGGGTTCACAGCTAAGTGTTACCTGACCTTTAGCAAATTCTGATTTTATTTCAAATGTTCATGATCTAGAGAAAAAAGAAAGAGGTAACTTTCCTAAATTCAGTTTATAGTATATCAAAGCCTAATACAATCAAGATATTTCATTCAATGTAAGATGTCAAAAATGTTTATACAACAGATATTATACCGTTACAAACATACTGCCAATTAGCTCACTGAGGGTGGCGGTGGGGGTGGGGGTGGCAGCGGGGGTGACCCCTTGTAGTGACCCAGCAGAGAGCTGGGCCTAGAGAAGGGTTGGATCTAGATGAGGGGGAGGTCCAGATGAGAGGCCGGTGTATACAAGGAGTGGGGTCAAGAAAAGAGATAGGGGGCTGGGGATGTGGCTCAAGCGGTAGCGCGATCGCCTGACATGCGTGCGGCCCGGGTTCCATCCTCAGCACCACATACAAACAAATATTGTGTCCCCGGGAAAAACTAAAAAATAAAAAATATTAAAAAAAAAAAAAAAAGAAAGAAAAGAGATGGGCCTAGAAGAGGGCAGGCCCTGAAGGAGGGGTGGGAAGGTCAGGTCTTAGAGAAGGGGTGGAGTCTGAAGGAGGGTAGGGCCTGGAGAAGTGAAGGGCCTGGCAAAGTGCCAGGGGTCTGAAGAACAGCAGGGTGTCCAAAAGGACAGGGTCTGGAGGCAGGGGGTCTAGAGGGGTTCTAGAGGAGGAGGCTGGAGGAGGGCCAGAGGGACCACAGATGGTGAGGAGCAGCTGCCTTGATGGTCCCTAGCTCAGAGCCCTTCAATCTCCAGTCTTCCATCACCATATCCCACCAAGGGAAACAAGCTGGAGCTGGGTAGAGGCAGTGACAGCCACCTACCATCACACTAGTCATAAGCAGCCAGCCTGAATCTGGATATAGTAGTCCCTGGGCCATCCACCACCACTACCGGCTCTGTACCAGCTGGCCTAAAAATGCTATGGAAGTGGCAGGTATTTATTACATAATGCCAAGAGGAGAGGAGCCAGGCGTGGTGGCCCACACCTATAATACCAGCTGCTAGGGAAGCTGAGGAAGGAGGATTGCAAATTTGAGGCCAGCATGGGCAACTTACCAAGATCATGTCTCAAAAAAGATTCAGGGAGGGGCTGTGATTGTGGATCAGTGGTAGAATGCTTGCCTAGCACATGCGAGTCCCTGGGTTCGATCCTCAGCACCACATAAAAATAAATAAATAAAATAAAGGTATTGTGTCCAACTACAATTGAAAAATAAATTTAAAAAAAAAGAATCAGGGATATTCAGTGGTGAAGCACTTACCCAGGATACATGAAATCCTGGGGTCAATTCTCAATAATGCAAAAGAAAGAGAATGCAGTGTTTTTATAAAACCCATTTCCTTTTATTCTACCTTCTATGTCATTTTAATGCGGTTTTTTTTTTAGAGAGAATTTTTTTAATATTTATTTTTCAGTTTTCGGCGAATACAACATCTTTGTTTGTATGTGGTGCTGAGGATCGAACCCGGGCCGCACACATGCCAGGCGAGCACGGTACCGCTTGAGCCACATCCCCAGCCCATTTTAATGTATTTTTAAAATATTTATTTTTACTTGTAGGTGGACACAATATCTTTATTTATTTATTTTTTAACGTGGTGCTGAGAATCGAAGCCAGTGCCTCACAAATGCTAGGCAAGTGCGCATCCCCAGCCCTTAATGCATTTTTTTAACTATTTTTATTTAGCTACTTATTTTTATGTGGTGCTAAGGATTGAACCCAGTGCCTCATGCTTTCTAGGCAAGTGTTTGCCACTGAGCTACATACCGCCCAGCCCATGTAAATGCAGTTTCATGTCCATGAACAATGAACTACTAGGCAAAAGCTATAGAGGTCTTAAACACTAAAATGTAAAGTGCTATTTGTTATAGATCAATCAATCCAACATAAAGGATTTCTAAAATGAAGGTGTAAGTCAGTGGAAAATCTGGATTGGAAAAGCTAGAAAGCTGACTTTCCAGTATATTGGCACAGACACTGACTTCCTTAATAAGACCCATACAGTTCAAAAAATAAAACCAACAGTAAGTGGGAAAATTTCAAATTATAAAGCTTTTGAACAGCAGAGGAAACAGGAGTAAGAAGAGATCCCTTTGGAACAGAATAAAATCTCTGCCAGCTACTCTTCCAACAAGGGATTATTATCCAGAATAGATAAAGAACACAACACACTTAACAAAAAATTAATAACTCAATAAATGGGCAAAAGAACTAAACAGACACTTCTCAAAAGAAGAAATAGCCAACAAATATATGAAAAAATGTTCCACATCCCTGGCAATCAGGGCAGTGCAAACCAAAAATACACTGAGATTTTACCTCACTCCAGTTAGAATGGCAAACATCAAGACTACTAATAATAAGTGCTGGTGAGTATGTAGGGGAAAAGTACACTCATGTTCGTGGGACTGCTGACTAGTGCAACAACTCTGGAAAGCAATATGGAGATTCCTCAAAACACTAGGAATAGAACCACAATATGATCCAGCTATCCCACTCCTAAGTATTTATCCAAAAGAACTAAAATCAGCATACTATAGTGATATGGGCACAATTCACAATAACCATGTCATGGAACCAGCCCAGGTAGGTGTTCATCAACACAGAGACAGATAAAGAAAATGTGGTGTATATACACAAAGGAGTTTACTTAGACATAATGAATTAAATTACAGCATTTGCTGGAGAATATCATGCTAAGTGAAATAAGCCAGACTCAAAAAGGGTTAAATGTGTTGTCTCATATACAAAAACTAGAGAGAAATAAGGAAATATAAAAGGGTATGATCCCATGAAGATGGAAGATAGGTCAGTGGAGTAGACAAAGGGGATAGAGGAGGAGGAAGGAGGAGGGATGGGAAAGGGAGAAACTGAGGATCAAAATTAATCAAATGATGCTATGTACATATATAAACAGACCACAATGAATTTCACCTTCATGTATATCTATAAAGCACCAATCTAATAAAATAATAAATATACAGAATGAAGACCAGTAAAGAAGGGGTAAAGGAGAGGGAGAAAGAGAAGGAAGTAGAAGTACTAGGGATGAAATGGAGCAAATTACAGTCCATGCATGTATGCATACATCTAAATGAACCCCACTATTATGTGTAACTGAAACCTGCTAATAAAAACATTTTTACAAGAGGGAAAAATATACATGTACTGCTAATTAAACTGACTTTACCAACCAAAGAAAAATCTGATGTTTAGTTCCATAAAAGCCTTGAAATAAATTTTTAATAAATGCTGGGTTAGAAATAATACATTTACTTAAATAACTTTGTGAGCTTAACATAATTACTTTTAAATTTTTCAATATTTTCCCTGCTCCTTTAACACTGCAAGGCAAAATGAACCATTAAAACATTAAAAAAAAAAACAAGTAATGTGGGGTGCTGAGGCCCCCCCCTCCCATCAAGCTCAGGACCCTTCCTGAGCGTTCCTCCTGTCTCTCTGCCAGGTTCCCCAGAAACCACCCCTGGGTCACCATGTTAAGATGAGGAGGGTCAGAGCCTAAGGAAAGAGCGCTTCTGCACAGTGAGCCTGGATGAACCGATGAAGGAGAAAGGACAGAGCTCTCTCCACACCCTCCCCACCTGTACCTAGCCTGCCACCTGTTCCTCCAGAAGCTCCTAGAACATACCCCTGAGGCTGGTCTGAGGAAAAGGGAACTCCCTGTGGCGGGGAAGAGGCATCCCTAGAGACAGGACCCAGGAGGGTCCCCAAGCCAGGAGGGTCCCCAAGCCAGGCGTCTCCCTAAGGCTGCTTAGAGAGAAGAGCTCCAGGCAACCCTAGAGACATGACCCACAAGGGTGCCCACGCCGGGCACCTCCCTCAGGCTGCTCTGAGGAGAGAGGAGCTCCGGGCGTCCCTAGAAACATGACCCATGAGGGTCCCCAGGCCGGGAGTCTCCCCAAGGCTGCTCTGAGGAGGGAGCTTTGCCCCTCTCTGTGGGGTGACCTACCATGTCCCTAAGCCTGGGCGCTCCAGGGTTGGTCCCGAGGAGGAAGCCAGCTCCTCACCCCAAGAAGAGGGCATCAAAGATGGCGGCGAGGCCCCACCCTTTGTGGCCACACCCCTCTTGGCCACGCCCAGCGTAGGGCGCTGTCTACCGCTGGTTCTGCTCCTGGCTCCAGGCTGAATCTTAGCTCCCTCTTCCACCCTCAGCTGTTAGTAAATAAAATCTGTTCCCACTGCTGTAACTAGGTCTAACAGTGCTGTCTGTGGCACATGAGGAGTGGACTCTCAGGAGAGGAGAAAAGAGAGTCCAGGAGATCCCCTCCCGCTCCCCAGCCCTGCACTCCACCAGGCCAAGCGCTGCTGCAGCCAGGAACCAGGCCGGCAGCAGTCCAGACAGGCCCAGGTGACACTTCACTCATGTGCCCAAGGGCAGAAGGCCAGAAACAGACCACCACAGAGGTTCTTGGGAAGTGTGGGAGACAGAGGGACTTAGCCGGGGACTGCCCCCTTTTAGAATCAGGGATTTTAAGAAAAGCTGTTAAATCCCAGCCCTGGGTGACCACTGTAAGGGGTTAGGAGAACCTGAGCTCAGTCCAAGCCCCCAGGAGCTTCTGGGAGTGTAATACTGGATCTGGGGGACCCAGAAAGACCACCAGCAGCCGGATCGGATGCACACACACAAGAGTCTTCATTGCAAGCTGGAGTCTGGACTCACAACCGTTTCTGACACAGTCGTTCCGAGGAGTGAGCCCTGGACCTTTGTTCAGTGAGATTTTATAGGTTTGGGGGATACTGTATGTGTCACAACGTCACACAGCAAATCATTTCATACCAAGGGAAAAATCAAACAACAACTCTTAACATTGATTAGCACATTCATTGGCGGGAACAATTCAGGTAAGTTCAAGAGGTGGTTAGTTCAAGAGGTGGATACGTTTTTAACTGATTGGTTTAGGCTTCGAGGGGGTTGCAAGGTATACATGCTAAACTACATGGTTTCCTGGCATTCCAGGTATCTTTCCTGCCCTACGCTGATTGGTTGTTGCTAGGGGGTTGCTATGGGTCATCAGGTCATGCCTTAGGCCTCAAACATTCTTTGGTCTTTTCAGGAACTAGTGTTTCTGAGTCAGGGACATCTGGTGCCACAGGTCTTTCCTATTATTTAGCCAGGTACCTAGGAACGCTCTGTGGGTTTTCCAAGAACAAGGGTCACCCCCTACCTTGGACAGTCCCTGCCCTAAGGTAGAGGCTGGTTTTTCCAAAAATGGAGCCACATCAGTTTCTCATTTCCCTCTTGGTCTGGAAACTTGGGAACCAATCATGGTTCCCTCAGTTGGAGGTTTATTCGGGCAGGCCCTACATCTTGGTAGAATTCTCCTTCTGGGTCTAGGGCTTGACAGTGGGTATGTAGAACCATCATCTGAACTGTGTTCACTCTGTCCTTGACGAAAGCCACTAGTATGTTAAGACTACATGGGCTGAATGGAGGCATGGGTGAGTTCAAAGCACGGGCAGGCATTCCAAGCAAGTTTAGAAATTGCACTAATTTTTATAGTAAAGTCAAAATTAACTTTTTAAGCCTTTGTGACAAGATGGCTCCCAATCTTAAGAGGGAATTAGGCTGGGTTTATCAGGAGCTGTAGGCGGCACCCATCTGTCCTGGAACATTCTAGATAATTCAGTCTATCCTGCCTGTCCAGCTCTCACCATGGATGCTTCTGGAAGCAGCAGGCTACACATTCAGAGTTCCCAGGGATTCTGGACAGGGTAATCAGACCCACCCATACTTTGCCCTGCAGACCATGGGAGCTGTGTGCCACGTGCTGGCCCAGGCAGTAGTGGCGGAGTCTGGTGTTCTACCCATGCTGTCCTTATCCCAGAAGCCTAGGGGCTGCAAGTAACACATCCACCCTCAGACACCCAGGATTCTGGGTCTTCTAATTGTAGCCCTCATTGCTCTGAAGCTTTTTTTTTTTTTAAGAACATGTTTTTTTTCCCCCCTCTTCCCCCTTCTCTCCCTCCCTAACAAGATTAGGGAAACAATGTTATCTTTTCTTCCCCTAGTTAATGGCCCTTGAACACACCCACTAAGGATCTGGGAAGTGAACATCTCCAAAATGAAAAAGTGGATCCTAACAAGCCATCGGAGTGCCCTGGGACTCCCTACCAGAGCACACCTGGAATGTAACCATTGAAGTTCCTTTAAAACTCTCCTGTCCCTCCTGATGGGGAGAATCACAGCTTTTGGGACAGGAGTCCCCTGTGTTTCTCCTTTGCCAGCAAAGCAATAAATCTTTTTTTCTTTTTCTCAAAACCATGTCCTCATTTTTGGACTGGCATGGGGACAAGGACTGAACTTTCAGTTATAACCCCAGAAGCCTAGGGGCTACATGTAGCACATTCACCCTCATACACCCAGGATTCTGGATAGGACAGTCCTATATTCCACAATTCAGCACCAGGGCAGAGGTCTGTGTGAGTTTCAGGCTACACAGTCACTCAGGCACCCCTAGGGATTCTGGGTAATATAATCCAGTGTTTTGACTGTACATCCCTACTGGGAGGGCCACCAAAGCTGCAAACCCCATTCTTTCCCAGGTGAAAAACTATACTCCTATGGATGAAAACATTCTGAAATCCCATGGAAAGTCAGCACTCAGGGGGCTGGAGATATAGCTCAGTTGGTAGAGTGCTTGTCTTGCAGGTCCAAGGCCCTGGGTTCAATCCCCACCCAGCACTACAAAAAAAAAAAAAAAAAAAAAAAAAGCACTCAGGAGCTCAAATCCTTTGTCAAGGAGCTCTCCTGGTTAGCTCAGACCTGAATAGAACAGGCAACATCTGCAGGTCACAGCTGGTGTCACTTCATCCCCTTTGCAGGTCTCTTGGGCCCTGGATGTAGCTGGGGTCACCTCAGTTCCCCTGAAGGTCTTGTTAGCCCTGGAAAGAGCTGACCCTCTACAGGCTTCTGCCTTTATTCTTGTAGTCTTGCACCAGGCAAGGAAAGATGTCATTTCATGACAACAACTGTAGGGATCAAAGGCTGGCCCTGCCTCATATAACAAGCTTGGTGATGAACAGAATCCCAATTTGCTGCAGCAGTCCTGGGCAAACCAGGGCCTCTGTCTGTACGTGCTTTACCAGCCACAGCAGGCTCCTCACCAAGTCACAGTGTCCTCCAAGTCCCTTCCCAGCGCTACCCGTGCATGTGCTACATCAGCAGCTTCCACAGCAGTTGTCCCTACTGTGCTTCACCAGCCACAGCAAGCTCATCACCAAGTCAGAGCATCCTCTTCCCAGTGCTCTGCATGCATGTGCTTTCACATCAAGCTGAGACTCCACACTTAATGAAGTGCAAATATTTAAAAAATTGTGCTGACATTCCTTGAAGTCCCACCCCAGTGCAGACTCTGTTGATACAAAATCTACTTGGTCCATTGGAGTAGGAGACATAAATGCCACCATTTTACCTGGAGATTGGTTTGGTCAGCTGTCACTGAAGCCAGATTTAAAGATAGGTGTTAAACCACGACGCAAAGAAAAGACCACCAACTCCAATTTAAATCAAATTAAAGCAAGCTTGTAATTCCGACCTGCTGGGGCTGTCTCTCCCAAAACCCATTGGAATAGAAAACAGCCCCACAGTTCTCGAGGAGGGCAGCTTTATAGCACGGAAAGTTGCAAAAAGTGGGGGTATCTTGAGAACTCACAGATAACAGAATTTTGTAAAGCGTAACACAAAGGCAGATAGTAAATTAATGGTCCAGCACTTAGGGAGTAAATTTAGATCCCAACATCAGAATTTATGAGGCGCCACTAGAGTTTCAGAGAGGATTGTTATCTGGTCAGGGAAAGCCAGGCATGGGTAAGTCCAAGGAACAGGCAGGCATTCCAAGCAAGTTTAGAAATCGCAATAATTTATAGTAAAGCTGAAATTAACTTGTTATGCCTATGTGGTGAGATGGCTCCCAAACTTAAGAGGGAATTATGCTGGGTTTATCAATAGGTAGTTAGTACAGTTAGGTAATTTAGGTATAATATCAAGTCTAGTAAAGAAAATGGGTGGGCTGGGGTTGTGGGCTCAGCGGTAGAGCGCTTGCCTAGCACTTGTGAGGCCCTTGGTTTGATCCTCAGCACCACATATAAATAAATTAAATAAATGTGTAAGGCCAGCCTCGACCTAAAGGAGGCAGATTTTAAAAGGCTCAATAAATTGAGATTTTGCTCCCAGTGGAACCCTTAGACCAGCAGAGTGGGTCTAAGGAGAAGCCCGCTGGGCCTGGACTGGACTGGAATTTTTATTGGGCTTAGGGCAGGAAAGGGGGTTTTTAGAGTCCCTGGTCCTATTGGAGTTGGGGTAAAGGGGAGCTGGCTAAGACCCAGGATTGGCCAGGAGAACCTGCTGATTGAAAAGCAGTTCCATCAGTGCCTAATTGGTGTTTCCTTCTGGCACACACGCAGGTTGCTTGGTGCTTTGTTCCTAAGTCACCACCATGGACCTGACAGCTACCACATCTCAAGCTAATAACAGGCGCTGTGTCCCTTAATCCTAATGTAATATTCATATGATACCATCTCGAACTAATATAATAGGTGCTGTGAGATGAGTCCTTGCTTCCTAGTATGCTGAAGTATAACACCAGAGAAGCACGCCGAGGCAAATGGAGAGTGGAGCGTAAAAGGCTTTATTACAGGACAGCAGAAAAGACTTAACCCCGGAGAAAGAAGGGGACCTGAAAGACAGAATCCGTGGAAAGGGAGGTCTTTCCTCTTTTAAATCTAAGGTCTTCTTTTGTCCTCCCACATTTCTGTCCTTTATTTCCCTCTATCCTACATGTGAGGGGGGATGCTGGTGGGAAGGCCAAAAGGTGAGAAACAGGTGGACTATTGAGCAGGGAGGAGGGATCTGGGCGGGAAGGACCTAGGGTGGTTTGATTGCTGGGAGCTATTCCATTAACAGTTCTTTAGGACTGGGAGGGAGGAAATGAGGGGGAGGGAAGGGGAGAGGGGGAGGAGAGGGATGGGAGGGGGAGGAGGAGAGGGATGGGAGGGGGCGGGGCCTTGGGGACTTTAACATTTCAATTCCCCAGGTGTTGTTCTGGTTCCCTCCCACTCAGATGGAACTCCATTTTCTTTATGGACTCCATTTTTTATATGGTCTCCATTTTCTTTATTGGACTCAATATTAGACCTGATTTACCTAACTACACTAACTACCTATCTTTAAATCTGGTTTCAGACTGACTCAGTTTCATAGGCTTCACTCCTAGTTCCTGGCTCTTGGCGTGCAGTGAGGCAGAACATCGTGTGGGAGCATGTGATTGAGCAAAGCCACTCTCCTCACAGCATGGAGAAGGAGAAAGGAAGCATCTGTGGAAAAAACATCCCCTCATGGACACGCCCCCAGTGACCTCTTTCCTCCCACCTGGCTGTACTTCCAACAGTTCCCACCACCTCCTGCAGCGCCTCCAGCTGGGGACCAATCCTGCTATGCACAAGCCTTTGGGGAATATTCCAGATACCAAACTGATAAAAGAAAAAGAAAGAGTTAGCGAATTTGAAGTGCAGTGACAGAAATGATGCAAGGTGTCCAACAGAAAGAAAACAAGTGAAAAAAAAATTAACAGCTCATTTAAAGTACAATTATTCTTTCCGAAATCCTTCAGTGCACATATATTCTTCGTTCAGACTTGACCGACTCAATACAGCTCAGATGAAAGTCTCCCAAGCTTGATCTGTAGATTCAGTGCAATACCAAATTCCCAGAAAACTGCTTCTGAACCCAGAATGGGTGACGCTGACTGCAAGAGGACAAGCTTGACAAACTCCACATCTGGATGCCAGAACCAGTCAAAAGGCTGACACCGTGAAGAGAATGTGACACTGGTGAAGGAAGAGACAGACTCCAGTGGAGATGGACAGAGAGCTCAAACACATGCTCAGATGGTTCACCTGACTCCTTTATCTCAATGTCAAAGTACTTGGAAAAGGTAGAAAAGTTGGTGTATCAAAACTCAAACATGCTCAGTGTGCACACCTGTAATTCCAGCAACTTGGGAGGCTGAATTGGCCAGTATGGGCTACTTAGCAAGACCCTGTCTCAAAATTCTAAAAAAAATGGACTGGGGCTATAGCTCAGTGGCAGAGTGCTTGCCTCACATGTGTGAGGCACTGGGTTCAATCCTCAGCACCGCATAAAAATAAAATAAAAAATAAAGGCATGTTACCCATCTATAACTACAATTTTTTTTTAATTAAAAGGCTCAGTAGTCAAGTTCCCCTGGTACTGGGTTTAATCCCCAGTGCCAAAAAAAAAAAAAAAAACACAACAATAAGAAAATAAACCCTCCAATTACAAAAAGATACAGATTGGAATAGAGATCTCACCAAAGAAGATATGCAGGGCTGGGGTTGTGGCTCAGTGGTAGAACACTTGCCTAGCATGTGGGAGGAACTGAGTTCAATTCTCAGCACTGCACTAAAAAAAAAAAAAAAATACCATGTCCATCTACAGTTAAAAATATTAAAAGAAGAAGGTGGAGGAGGAGGAGGAGGAGACGATGATGTCATGCAGATGGCAAAGCATGGAAAATGATGCTGATCTCCACTTACCATGAGAGAAAATGACAAAAACAGCAAGAGGGCACTGCCATGCAGTCTCCACTGTGGAGGATGTGAACAACAGGGGCTCATGCATTCTGGGGGAGGGCACAGAAGTTGGCCACTGTGAAACAGTTTGGCAGTTTCTCACCATAGGGCTCAACACTCATGATACTAAGAATTCAGACAACTGCCTTGAAAACCCATGTCTAAATACAAATGCAGAGGCACACAGCAGTCGTGTTCACAATGGTCGAGAACTTTAAGGAATCAGGATGTACCTCAATAGGTGGGTCAATAACAGAACTGCACAGCATCCATGTCATGGAGGCCTGGGGACTCTGAGCTCCCCCAGGCCTCTGCTCTGGCCCACACCTGAGCCACCTGGACTCCCCTTGTCTTTGTGCCTCACAGTGAGGCAAAGTGGGTTCTATATGGAGACACCTGTAGATGCAGAGGATAAACTCAGGAGAATGCAGGGACAAACCCAAGTCTGCATCTTTGCCCACAGAAGCCTCCTGGGGAAGGACAGTCAGACCTGGAGGCAATCCCAGGAGCCCCATAGGACCACACCTACCAGGTAGAACCTGGAGGCAGCTCCTGGACCCACCTCTGATCAGCTTGGAAGACCTTGTACCATACCTTCATTTCCCCAAGCAACTTCTGTTTATCTCTTTTCACAGGCATCAACTGCCTCCTGAGCTTGGATTCTGTTAGTTTGTTCAGTCTGTGCCACAGGCTAGTCCTGATGCAGAACCTCTAAAATTCACTGTTCTGATTATTCCACAACATAATTTAGGGCATTTAAGCTGAAATGGAGCCTGCCATCCCATGCCTTGATCTGAAAGCATGGCACCAAGGTCAGAATGTTTGCCTTCCAGATTTCATGTGTTAGAAACATAATCCCCAAAGTCCTGAAGCCCAGAAAGCATAGGGCTGGACAAACCACCCCTCCCACCTCCTCCAGCTGCCCCCCTTGCAATTTGAAATAGCCAAGATGTCCCTTTTAATCTCAGCAGGGAAGGTGCCTCAAGAAGGCATAGAAGAGGATGCTCCACGTGGTCATGGTGTCGCACCGGTGTCCACTGGGCCCAGCTGGCCCTTCATGGGAGTGAGGGTAGAACAGCTTGGGTCCACAACCCTCTTCTGAGGGAAGACTGGGACAAAGCCAGAAGGGTGGAGGGAAGGGACGGGCTGGCTGTCAGGATGCTGAGGGTGAGGCCCCTCCCCACAGGAGCACAGAGGCTGAGAAGGGCTTCCTGCTTCCATCTAGTCTCTGGCCACTACACAGGTGCCCCTTCCCAGGAGGTCCAGTTGAGCCAAGGGTCAGCTCCAGGGACTTTAGTCCATTTTCGCCAAAATGGACATGATGCAATGGAGTCACAGTTCTAGAACTTTCAGGACTGAGCCTGCGGCATGTCCAGAGTAGAAGGCAGCTCCTCCTGCAGTCCGTGACCATGACCAGCTCCCTCACAGGTGTCTCCCTGCTGGGACTCTGCACCCTGTTGGCTGCAGGAAGGGCCACAGGCTGAAGCTGGGATGGGCCATGTACTCTGTATGTTTCCTGAGAGGGCTGAGGGCTGACACCCCCTGTAGCAGGCCAAGGCACAGTAGTCACTACTTCTGCCCTGGGAGTCCGGGGGAGCTGGCCTGGTGAGGGACACAAAGGCCCAGTCCTCCTGTGGCAGGTAGGCTGACTGTTCCCCCAACTCCACACATCCTGCTGGCTGCACACTCACTGAGCTCAGGGCTTCTGATAGACCAGGACCAGTGCCCTCCTGCTCCTCCAGGCTTGAGGATTGCCTGGAGCATGCCAGGCCATAGGTGAGCAGTGTGATGGCCTCCCAGATGTTGGACTCTGAGGCTCCTTGCAGGGTGTTGACACAGTCCTGAGTCAGCTGTAGGCTAGCTCCATGGGTCCCTATCCAGGTCTGGAAGAGAGCATAGGGGGGAGGGAAGGGCTTAAGCAGCAGGTTCAGAGCTCACTTTGGGGCAGCTACTTTACCCTGGGCAGGCCCAGCCTTCCTCCTTCTCCAGGAAGCTCTCCTGCCTTCCACCATAGGCCAAGAGCACCTGTGCCCAGAACATTCCATCTTTCCCCATGTGCCAGCCTGGCATCAGCACAGGACCTTGAGTGCTCCCTCAGTACTCCCCTTGAGCCCTGCACTCATGGCAGCCTGAACCATGAGTGCAGGGTAAAGTTGATGACAGGTGCTAAGGACAAAGCTAACCTCTGAGAGCACACTGCCAGGGTCTTCCAGCAGCTACAAAGCCTGGGCATCCCCCAAAGAACCCCACTTACACACAAGGCAAGAGATGCAGTCAGGACCCTCCCTGGTACCACTGGAAGCCCTTACCTCCAAAATGAATCTGTTCCCTCAGTGGAACCAAAGCCTCCACCAAATGCACCACACACTACACCCTCCATCTGCTTCCTGGAGAGCTGACCTATAGCACCATACCTGTACCTGCACCCCATCCCTGAAGTCTGAATAACACCTGGCAGCTGCCATGGTTCTGCAGAAAAGAGGTCAGTGCCTATAACTGGGATGACATAGCCCAAGGGCCAACTACTTCTGCCTGCTCAGCCTGTCCTCTTGATAGGACAGCTGCCTGGGCTCTTGACAGTCACATCCACTGCCTTGGGGAAGAGTGGAACTCCCTCCAGAGCCAAGTGCCCAGTTTTGAGCTACAACTTACACTTTTGGACAACAGAAAACTAGTCTCCCTATTGAGAGAACAAAGGATGTTTTTGCATAATAAGCTGGAGACCGTGTGAAGGGGACATCCCTGGCCACAGGGTGGAGCAAGACTCTGGGGAAGACCAGGGTCAGCTTGGCCTGGACCCTAGGGAAGAACTCAGCACTGAGAGGGGAAAGACAGAGACTACCAAGAGAGACTTTCCTCTCCCGACCTCCTCTCAGGGAGCATGAACTGCCAATCCAATGCTACAAAAGTGATCTGAGGCTCTCCTTCCCAGGCCCACAATAGGGAAATACAGGGTGCACTCATGTGCAATGGTGCCAGGGAGATACCCAGGGGCCCATAAGGTACCAGACACTTCACGGTGGCCACCAAAGAAGAAGTCAGTGGTCCTATTAGGGCCAGGACAGTGGTACAAGCCAGAGACCCTTCCCCATAGCCACAGGACAAAAACCTTTGGGGAAGAGGAGGTGAGAAGAAGGAATGAGATGGGGTGGGTGCAGACAGCCCATAATATGCACCTTGAACTGAACATTTCCCTCAGTAGCAGAGCAGACAAATGAAAGTTTAATTTTCCCATCAAGAATGGAACTGGGGGCTGGGGTGGTGGCTCAGTGGTAGAGCGTTCACCTAGCATGTGTGAAGCCCGGGGATCGATCTTGAGCACCACATAAAGATAAATAAATAAAGGTATTGTGTCCATCTACAACTAAAAACTATTTAAAAAAAAAAAAGAATGGAACTGGAGCTAGGGTTATGGGTCAGTGGCAGAGCGCTTGCCTAGCATGTGTAAAGCACTGGATTCAATCCTTAACATAGCATAAAAATAAATAAAAAACAATTATTTTTTAAAACATCATCACAAAAGAAAGAAAGAAAGAAAGAAAGAAAGAAAGAAAGAAAGAAAGAAAGAAAGAAAGAAAGAAAGAGGAGGCCAGGGAACAAAATAAATCATCAGTGAAAATACAGTTAAATTATTGTCCATTTGAGACAGTGTGTCAATTTGGACCCACAAACTATACAAAAAAAAGACCAGACCAGCCCCCATCCAAGCCCACACCTGCTCAGGTCAAACCTTGGAGTCCATATCTGCCCCCATGCCCTGCAGTGCTCTCTGCACACACCTGGAAATTCCCGTTGTGCACAGTGTAGAGGGGCTGGAAGAACACTGCTGGTGAAGGCACATTCTGGTGGAAGGTTTTCTTCACCCTGAGGCCAGGAAGGGACAGTCAGAGCCTGCAGAGACCCTAGTACAGGCTCCTCCCAAGGCCACACTCCAGAAAGTCTGAGGTCACTGCAGAGACGGAGCTCTCATCCAGCCAGAAGATGTCAACCTGCCTCACCCAGGATGCTGCCCCTCCCTCCCTCTTGCTCCTCAGAGGACTGGGCATGATGGTTCACTTCTGTAGTACCAGCTACTCAGGAGGCTGAGGCAGGAGAGTTGCTTGAGCCCAAGAGTTCAAGATCAGCTTTGGCAACATAGCAAGATTCATTCTCAAGAACAAACAAACCCACCCACCCTATGGACAAACCCACTCTCAGGGCAAAACACAAATGGCAGGCTGTGACCTCTCTGGCTAATGCCCCAGAGATAGAACTGATTTATACCAAGGCATATGTCTTTTCCAGGTGAGCTGCAGCCACAGAGTCAGTGCCTGGAAGTGGCCAGTCCTGCCCTCAGCCTCAGAGCCAGTAGCTCCAGGAACTGCATGTGTGCTGCTGGCAGATAAGACCAGCTCCCAATCCACCTGATCACCCAGCTGCCTGCCCAGGACCCACACTCCCTCAAGAGGAGGCCATGCAAGGCTCCAACCCCATAGGGCCAGCTCAACCTCCCTGACCTCCCAGGGCCTAGCCCCTGGAGTTCACCTCAGGGATCACACTCAAATCCCATCTTCTCTGCCTAAGACCCTGGCAACCCCTCCAAGGTGTTCTGTCTCCTCACCCTCGCTCAAGTCGAATCACCTGTATATCAGTGGTCCATTCTAACCACCTGAACCAAATGGTGTGGCATCACATGCCGCTCTCTTCCAGTGCTCTAAGGAGAAGCTGGCACCCTCCCCACACCCTCCTGCCCTGTGTCCAATCCTCTTGTTCTCTCCATCATTTGTCTGCAGCTGGACAGTCTCCTCCTCAGTCCCAGATAAGGCTCCTGTGACCTCGAAACCTGACATGTGGTACATAAGGTGTGGGGGCTTATCTTGCTCTCTGAGGTGTCTTTCAGGGATGAGAACAGGGTCCTGTGCACCCCAGTTGCCCAAAATAGCACTTCAATACAACATGTGAATAGATGGGCAAACCAAGCAACATCCCCAGTGCCAGGAGACAAGGACCTCAAGTTCCTGAGTCCCAGGAACTCTGGGTCTCTCCACAGTTGGTGGGGACCAAGCATATCACATGTTCAGGTTTACCACAGCACTCCCTCCCTTCTCTCCCCTGTCAACTTGGGGACACACCCACAATGGCCCAGTATGGACACTTGAAAACCCAACTCCATTCAGCACCAGACAATGGAGAGGGGAGGAAAGGAGCAGGGGGGTTGGCCCTGTGTCCCAGACACCACATATCTACACACGCACAGACTGATATGCCCACACACATGCACACAACTAAAACATGCATACACTAAGACATTCACATGCACATGCTAAGACATTGTGTGTGCATGCACTGATAGTCAAGTGTACAGACTCACACACACACAGTAGCCACCTACCTGGGTGACAGCTTGAACAGGAGGTAGGTCAGGCCAGTCAGAAGGAGAAAGACAGGTACAGCAATAAAAGTGCTGTCTATCCAGCCCCAGGATGGGACCAGGAGGCCTGTGGGCAGGAAAGGAGAGGTTCCCCCCAAGCCTACCTGACAAAGGATCCCTAGCAGTTCCCTAGGCCAAAGAGGAAAGAATCTGGGATGGCCTCGGAGGTTAGTGCAAAGCCTGCTGAAGTCCCTGGGGTGAGTCTCACTCTTGGCCCGCCCCTCCATCTGCCACACGGCTGGTGGTCAGGTCGTTGAGCCTTCCCAGCAGCACTATGCACAGGGTCAGCCTCACCCTCACTAAAGAGACTGAGCCCCGTCTGGCATAGAGTTCCAGGTCACACTCACTCCCAATGGTAGCCACTAGATGCAGGCTCCTAGGAGCCCAGGGTGTGTTTCCCCTTGCACAACTCAGACTGCAGGGGAAGGGGCCTTGGGGTGAAAAGTAAAGGGGTGGGATGGACAGAAGAGTGGAGGCCAAGCTGTGGATGAGCAGCCTCCATGTGGACCCACCTCCTCGCTGGGGCGAGGGGAAGCACACAGATTGGCTCCACTCACTCCACTGGCCCTCATGACGCTCCTCCTCGGTCACGTCGTCCTCCAGCACGGCCATCCGCACACGCAGCCTGGCCTCATAGGTAGACCCAGGGTCCAACTCGATGGCTTCAAGGATGAGCCAGGTCACCCCCACAATGCGGTCCTTGTGCCGGGCCTGCTGCAGAGCCAGGGAGAGTGAGCAGGTACCAAGTGTGGGGCTGGGTCCAGCTGGAGAGTGTACACAGCAGACCACTCACACATACACACACACACACACACACACACGTGCACACTCACACACAGACACACCCCTGCTCACACCCACACATACACACACACATGTGCACACTCACACACAGACACACCCCTGCTCACACCCACACACATCTACAGGCACATTTCACACTCACACACTCAGGCACCCCAGTACACACTCACACATGTAGACACAAAGCACAGGCACACTCATGTACACTCACATACAAACACACAAACACGTCCACACACAGGCATGCTCACCACCTGCTGTGTGCACACATACACACATACACCGGCATACTTGTGTGCATGGGGATGATGCATGTACACTCACACCAGGCTCTGGCCCCCTCCCCTCCTCACCATTCACAGCAGCCACTCTGGGGAAGAAAAGACCCAGGGGAGGAAGCCAAAGCATTACCTCCCAGGCCTCTTCCTGCCTCTTGAGGGCCAGCTCATAGCTGAGAAGTGTGGTCATTGGCTCCAGGGCAGGGCTGATGGTCCAGGTGAGGACACAGGAGCCAGAGCTGATGTTGCTGTGCAGGTCAGAGGGAGGGTCCAACTTAACTGAAACAAAATGGATATGTGAGGTCTTCAGCATGCCAAGATCTAGGGCACTAAGATTCCCGTGATGCATGGTGAAGGCCCCTTCAGACCAGGGGAGTCACTGGAAGACAGGGACAGAACAACTATCCTAGCCCCTGTAGCAAGGAGGTTTCCCGATGCTGCTCCCCTTTCCTTCACACTCTGCTGCTGGACTCCTTCCTGCTCTGACCAGAGTGCATTTCTAGTGATGTGAACCCAGCTCAGCCCCTACCCCAGCTGGCCCTGCATCTTCATCCTCTGCCCAAACCCTGGCCCTGCAGTAAGTAGCACATGGCCATCCCCTCCCAGGGTCACCTGCTTCCAACCCCAGGTCTCCCTTGGCAAGGACTCAAGACCACAGGGGTCACAAGCTGAGGTCCCTGCCCCCACCCACCAAGCAGTAGGCTGGCCCTGGGAAGGCACCCCTGCTCACCATGCCTCCGGGGAAGGTACTGTGGGTCCACCAGGCTGACCTGCTCCTTCCCAGAGACACAGCGGTGGAGAGTGATGGTGAAGTTGTCAGAGGGCAAGAGCACCTCCTCAGGGGGCAGCTCCAGGGTGCAGGCACTGCCTTGGAAGATGCACTTATGCTTGCTGCCAGGTGCCTGGTTGCTGGAAAGGCCATACATCAGCACCAAGGCAAGCTGCTTCCAGGGGCGGGGGGCTGCATTCCCACCACCCTTCCCCTCACCTAGTGAAGAGGAGCCAGGGGCCAGAGCCAGGACCCAGGTCTGGGGCAGACCAGTGGCAATCGATCCTGAGGATGTTGTTGGTGAGGCAGGTGAAGGTTCCAGCCCATGGCCCTAGGGATGAGACCATTGGAGCCTGTACCAGGTGCTTCTGGGCAGAGCTGAGGCAGGGGCAAGAGAGGGCCTGACAGCTGAACCCTAACAAGGCAGTCTCCAGAGAATGACCAAGGAGAATCTGTCAAAGGCAGGTCTGGGGGGCCTGGGGGTAATGGGCTCAGTCCATGTACATAGGGAAGTCAGGACCAAGACAAGGGCACAGGAAGCCTAGGGTCAATGGGACCCCGGAGGACAGGTCCTAGCAATCTGGGTCCATTCTTCTCCCAGAGATGCCCCCACTTCCAGCCCCTAACTCTCCATCCAGCTGCCTCACACAGACACAAGTGCCCAATACTCACCTCCTCCCTCCTCAGGGACAGAAACTCCCCAGCAGGCACAGATACAGAATAGGAGCCATGTGCCCAGATCTCGAATCAGGGCCTCACTCTCCAAGGTCCAACCTGCAAGGGACTAGACTGAGAGGCCTATGCCTCTTTGGGTGGGAAGTTCCCTGAGATTCCACTTAGCAGAGGCTCTGAATGGGATATCACCTTCACCATCACCATTTCCAATGAAAGAAACCAGGCATCCCTGTCCAATCTTCACCGGTAAGAATCCGCAGCTCAGAAGGGTCACTTGACCCAACCAAGGGCTGTGGCTTCTATGTGCAAGACACAGCTTCCTGGACTCTGAGAGTAGCATCTCCATGTATGCCTACAAGGCCCTCTCTGAGACCGCCATCCTCTGCCTGTCCTTCCCCCAGGCCAGGCCCAGGCCCACACTGAAGGGCAGTCAGGACTGGGGAAAACTGTCAGGCCCACGGGGCTCCTTCCTGGGTGTCACATGCTGTGCCAACTGTGGAAACTGCACTTTGTACTTTGGTTTTGACAATCATGAGAAAGGCTGTTGGGTTCATAACACGAAAGCAGATGCCAAGGAGGGGAAGGGCCTTGACCCAGGGGCACACATTAGCCTTCAATCATGCGTAGCTAGCCGCACTGCCTTTTGCTGCCTTAAATGAAGACCTGTTGTAGCTCTGCCTCAGTAACATGGTTGAGGGTGGCAGTAGGTGTCCATGCAACAGATGGCACTTGCCAAAATGCCCATCATCTCTCTATTCCCAGGTGTCCTACACCCCAAGAAGGACAAGCCCCTTTGCTGAGGATCCCTGGGGGAGCCAGAGATTGACTACAGACAGAGGGATCAGGAAGCTCCTGGCTATGGGGAAGCTGCTGACGCCCTATCACCCCATTTGCAGTTACAGATGGCTCGCTGATAGCCCCTAAGCAGGAAGCAGGGCCAGCTGGGTTACACAAGCCCGATTAGTGATAAGGAAGAAAAAGGAAGCAGACATGCACACAGATCAGAGCATGCTTACCCCCCAGAAGCCCTCACCCCTCAGCAGGCACCTACCCACCTTAGCACCCCGAGGACAAACCACTGATAAGACCCAATCTTCCCTGGAAAGGAGTATGCACTCCAGCAGCAGCATGAAAGGCAAGTTCTCCATGGTAATGTCTGGAAGCTGGGGATGTAGCTCAGTGGTAGAGCACTTGCCTAGCATGGCAGGCAGGGTCTGTCCCCTCTTGTGATACTTACTGGCACTGTCAGTCCATTCAGGATGGGAAGGCACCAGGGCCTGGTAAAAGCTCATCACAGCAACCACTTCCTGCTAAGAGCTGGCCCAGACCCCTGTGGTGACTCTGTTCCAGGAGAAGCACCCACCCAGGCCAGCCACAGGTTGGCCCAGGAGCAGGTGGCTGGAAAGCAGACAATCAGGTATCTCTCAGCTCCACAGTCCCCCTCTATAGACCAGGTGGGAAGAATAGTGGGAAGAATGCATACAAGAGGAGTGACAGAGAGCTAGGTGCCACCAGCAGTAACCTAGGGAAACTGAGGCCCAGAGAGACCAGAGACTTGCCCCACATGTAGCACATGGCAGCTCTGTTCTTAGTAGGGGTCCTCCTAGCTCCCACATAGCCTGAAGCTGCCTGAGAGCAATGTGTGAGTCCATCAGTACACACCCACTGAGAACCACACAAAGGGGGTGAAGCCTCAGGGCATCACTGATCTCCCTTTAAGTCACTGCAGACATGGGATGAGACATTACAGAGGGAGGCAAACCCTGGGCCAGCCAGTCAGCATAGTACCCCTTGGTCCTCTAAGAGGTGCCAGGTTGGCTCCAGGGAAGTCTCTCACAGCAGGTTACAGGATGGTGTGAGAACAAGAGGGAAAGCCAGAGTCTGCATCACCAGACAGAGGTGCTTCCTGACACCCTGGCTGACACCAGGGACTAGTATGGCCTTCCCCATCAGGTCTGCAAACACAATACGAAGCCCACTGGTCCACATCTGGCCCAGATGGCCTACCTATCCTGGATTTCTGAGATACCATGAATTTGTGGGAGGCCCTGTAGCTGGAACCCTGGCTTTGACCATGGGGTCTGCCAGCCCCAGGGGAGGGTATCCATATAGGCCCTGCATATATGGTATCCATATTGGCCCTCAGGCCCCACTATTCCTCCCACGCCAGAGCAAGCCACCATCATGGGGGATGTCCAGGAAGCTTTGGACTCCTTAGTGCCTTGCAGGACATGCTCCAAATTGGCTCCACTGGGGACCAGTCACTGTATTCACTTACTGTCACACAAAACCTATTATATATTTTTTTTTGTGTGTGTGTACGCGTGTATGTGTGGTTCTGGGAATGAACCCAGGGCCAGGAGAGTGCTCTACACTGAGCCACACCCCAGCCCTGGTTTTTATCTTAATGGGGGAAGACATGCGATCCTGTTTCTCTTGCCCACATCTAAAGCTAGAGGATGTGGAGGCAGATGGATGGAGGTAGCTATTTAAATAAACCCTTGTCCAGCACTGTCTTCTCTCTGCTGGAGGTGAAGAGAGAAATGCAGATTCTAGCTGCCAGAAGCAGCTGCACCCTGGGGCACATGGAGGCTGTGCCAGGAAATAGGGCTGAAAATGGGAGCAGGAGAGAATTCCCTCTTTGGGTTACACAGGATATGGCCTTCTCAGGCACCAGGGGAACTCCCAAAGCTGTTGGGCACAGGTTGGTGATCCTGATGGGTCTGGGTATACATAGGGAGCAGAAGGGACAGTGTGGGAAGGCCAGCTGCTTGAGGACAAAGATAACAGACAAGAGGGGCCAGACACAACGGCTCACACTTGTAATCTCAGTGACTCAAGTTTGAAGCAGGAGGATTGTGAGTTTGAGGCCAGCTTCAGCAACTTAGAAAAACCTGTCTCAAAGCAATAAATTTAAAAGGCTGGGGATGTAGCTCAGTGGTAAAACACTCCTAGGTTCAATGCCCAGTACTGGAGGAAGGAGGTACAGGGAGACGCAGAGAAGGTCAGGAATCGGGGAGGGATTCCTAGAAGCATCTTGCCACACATTTTCTGGCAGGGAGGGTGCATGGGGGTCAGGGGTTTGGGGGCACACCAAGCTGAAGTTCAGGAGAGAAGAGGGCTGGACCAGAGATGCTAGGTGGATAAGGGCACAGACCCAGAATGTGGGGGGAAAGGGCAAGGACAGTGCCCAAAGAGAATGGGGGTGGGAGGGGAGGGGTCAGAGAGCCTGCACTGGTGAGCACAAGCCTACTGCCTGGCCCCCTTCACTCTGTGCCCTGGGCCTGGCTTCTTCCCCATCTCAGTGCTCTCCGCAGCTCGCCTCCAGCCCCCAATCTGTCTCCCCAGGCAGAGTGTGCCAGGGCACAGTGCAGGAGCTGATGAGGTTCTCCTCAGGGCCTGGGGAACTATGCCCACTACTCCTGCTGCCTCAGTGGGGGGCAACCCTCTTCCAGCATCCCCCTCCCAGTCCAGCAATCCCCCTGAAGGTGAAGCTCACTGCTCTGTGGAGTCCCAGTAGGGACAGGGCTCCAGGGTGACCTGCAGACTTCTGCTATCTTCTTCCCAAATGTTCCCCCACCTTATACAGAGGCCACCCTGGTCATCCATGAAGGCAACAATGGAACAGAATTTGAACTCACACCAGGAGGGTTTCCACTGACCTCACAAGGCCAGAGGGGAACCCAGAAGAGCAGGCCCATTTCCTCAAGCCCCTCATGAGAACAGCTAGCCCAGAGCCCCAGGGGATGCAGAGGGCATTGCTTCCTCAGGAAAGCACCCTCTTCCCTCTGCCTGCTTGGCTGAGCTGACCCTCCTGGAATCCCACCTGCACCTGCTGCCTCCCAGCTCCTCCTCTGCCCTGAAGCCCCCAGAGGCCTGGGAGCTCAGAGGGGCTTTACCTGCCCCAGGGCCTCACTCATGGCCATGACAACGCCATTTGCTCTCATGCCCACAAAGGTCAACTCAGTCACAGAAGAAGTTTCTTCCATAATGAGAAGCACCCTTCCCCTGTCCAGCTGGAGCATGACCACACAGACCACAATGGTACCCATGCCGCCTGAAGGCCTGGAAATTGCAGTGTATGATTTTATGGTCAGCACTGCAAAGTCTACAGTCTCAGATATGCTAAGGCCAGAGCACCAGAGGATGAAAAATTAGGAAGAAGCTCCCAAATGCCACGGTGGTTCCCTGGGCCCAGGGATAGAGGACCACTTGTCTCTCTCTGCTTCCTGAAGTTCATGCTACGGTCAGAGGTTGAGGAACTCAGAATACAGACTCACCTTCCCAAATGCATCTGCCCAGTGCCATTGAGTCTCAGCATCACCAGCCCAGAGGCAACCTGCTGTGACAGTCCTTGATGTGCAGCAAAGCCCCTCACCTGATCCAGGAGATAACCACAGCGGCAGTGACGGCAGTGACGTGGCCTCAAGACAGGCTGACACAGGCCACCCACATCTTAAACCACGGCACAAAGCAGAGTAACCCTCATGGAGCTGAGAGATGCCTGTCACTGCTTACCACAGGCCCTGTGACTGAGTTGCCAAACCTGGGTGTTAGTGATCTGTCTCCTGACTGGCAGATGGGAGTCCACTGTGCTTCTCCCGAGAACCAGAGCACCACCGTCAAGATGCACTGAACTAGCAGAGGAAGCAAGGACCCTGACAGCAGAGTAGGGCCCTCACCCCTCCCAGGTTTTTCCAGAACCAGAGGTGCAGTTCTTCCACCAACAAGCTGTGAGCAGCAGGGGCAGGGTGGGTGCGAAACATAAAGGTCAAGCAAACTCAGTCAAGGAAAACAAACAGCACAGAGGGACTAACTGAAATGGGAGATGCCTACTTAGCCTGCCCAGAGGTGGCCCTTGCCAGCAATTTAGCCAAAATCCTTCCAGACACCTTTTAAGCTCATTCAAATAAGCACATATTCTTAACAGACTCAGAATATGTACTTCTGGCTATTTGCAACCTCTTTCTAGGTTGTCACAGGCAAATCTTCCTCATGCATTGAATGGCAGTATATGTCATGGTTTAATAGTTCCTTAAATAGACTTTTGCACCATTACATACAGTATTTTACATGGAGGTAATGCACAATTCTAGGCATAGATCTCTAATCAACAGAAGGAGTACTTCCATAAAAATGTTTGCTAATAGTGGAATCAGGGGGCCTCAAGGTTGACATTTAAAAACACTCATAGATACCCCAAGTGGCCCTACAAAAACAGGGCACCAACTTCCACTCGCACCAGCACTGTGAGAACACTCATAACCCTTGTTTACAGCAAACATTATCAGTCTTTTTAATCTGTGCTGGTCTGATAGGCAAAGATATTTCAATGTTTTTTTAAATTTTGTACTTCCTTGATAATTAGTTAAGAGAAGCATCTTTTCATGTACATATTGACTATATGTTCTTTTTTGTGCCACATAAGATCATATTTCAGTGTGTGATAGTGTTCATGCACACATGTGTGCTGTGTGTGTCCTGTGCAGTAGCTCTCTGAAGAGACAGAACCAAAGGCTCAAGTCATGAAACAGCTTAGCAATGACTGACCAGAGATATATTTATCTACTTTTGTTTTTTTTTTAGATTTTTTTTTTTAAATATTTACTTATTTATTAGTTATTGGCGGACACAACATCTTTGTTTGTATGTGGTGCTGGAGGATCGAACCCAGGCCGCACGCATGCCAGGCGAGCGCGCTACCACTTGAGCCACAGCCCCAGCTCCTTTTTTAGATTTTTGATAGCATCTTTATCCTGCTAATTCCTTGCTTATATGATACAAATATATAGTAGATTCCACAAAAATACATTTTTTTAAACACAAAAGAGACTTTGTTCAAGACTATTGCAATAGGAGACAGGCCCAGAACTCTGTCTAATAAGCTCCACTCCACAAAAACAAAGTGCTGGAGAGTTTTTGAGAACTAAGGGGGAGGAGGTTGAGGCCACCAGGTTTGCTAATTGGCCTTACCAAAAGAAAGTGTGTTCTCCCATCTTTACACCTGGAGCACGGGCACTTCTGAAGTCAAGCCCCTGTCCTGACATAGAGACTGGGGGATGAGGTACTGTCTTCCTTGACAATTACACTTCCACAATGGCTCCCAGATCCTTGAGAAAGACATTCCTGGATTAGAAAATGGTCAAAAAGCTTTTAAGAGAGTTTTACATCTGGAAGGGGCTGGAAATTTATAATTAGAATTTATATTTAGAATTTTTCTAAAATGTTCTAAGAAAAGAGGTCAGGAGCCAACAGCCTGTTTCAAAGTTGGTTGATATGAGGTTGGTTGATTGGTATAAATGATCATGGTCACTTGCAATAATTCTATAATATAAAGGAGATGTGTCATTCTCCCAGAGGTCAAGCTCCTCTACTTATCCCACTGCAAGGTATAGGTTACCACGTACGGTGAAGTGAGAAGATGGGGAGCAGAGACTCAGAGCCGGTGAACACAGTGCTTTCCAGGAGGCAGACTCTGGTCTTGGAGGTGCTCACATTCCACGGAGATTCCAAAGCTAACTCCCTTAGTTTTCTGGTGATGCTACAGTAGAGTTTACATTTGCTCCCACAATTAACAACTGCCATTTTCTCCTGAGTTTCTCTTTTTTTCCCCTTTATGTATGAACTCTCTTGATTTCAGAGGTTCAGTTCACAACAGGTAGGCCAACTCCACAGCTCTGGGTCTGAGGCAAGGCAGGACATCATGATGGATGAGTGTGGCAGAAGAGAGTAGCTCAGGTAGTAGCCACAGGAAGGAGAGAGTGGAAGAGAGAGGGGGAGAGAGAGAGAGATAGAGAGAGAGAGAGAGACAGACAGACAGACAGACAATGGAGAGGGAGAGGGAGAGAGAGAGAGAGAGAGAAAAGGAGAAAGTGTGCAAGACAGCACAAAAGTACATCTTCACCAGTGGATACAGGCGTGAGGTCAGTGCTTCTTCCCCTAGAAAATGCACGAATGGCACACCCCTGATCGCCCACCCTCTTCCACAGCACATGAAGGTACCCAGAAAACAACATCCACAGACAGGCAAGGAAGCCACAGTTATGAAGAGGAGCACCTGGCCAGAGTCACCATGGAAACTAGTCACCAAATGAGGGAGAGGCATGTTGCCAGGGTCGTATGCTGATTGGACTACAGGAGGTAGAACAGGGTCAGCAAACCACACCAGTCAAGTCCAGACTATGATTTTTTTAAACCTGTGAATTTAGAAAGATTAATACTTCTTTTTTCAGTAGTGGGACTGACCCCAGGGCCTTCTACTGAGCTACACCCCCATTCTGCTTCATACACTTGTAAATGGTTGGAATTCTCTATGAACTGCATTAACACATAAAAATCAGATGAAATTCAAAATTCAGTGTCCATGGAGTTGTGGAGCCTTTTGGTGTTTGTTTTGTTGCTTTTGAGACAAGGTCTTGTTGTTTCCCAGGCTGGCCCTGAACTTGTGATCCTCCTACCTGAGTCTCCCAAGTAGTTAGGTTACAGGTGTGCACCACCACACCTGGCTAGAGTTTTGTTTTTGTTTTTTTTTAATAAATGTGCTTACTGTATTTTAAAATACACACAACATAAAATTTGGCATCTTGGCCACTTTTCAGCATTCACACTCAGTCATCATGCTGTCCCCACCAGAGGCCTCAACATCTGTGCACAAAGGAAGCTCCACACCACTAAACGAGGCCACACCCACCTCTCCCCTCACCCTATCCAATAGAGAGCAGCAACTACCTTTCTACTTTCTACAAGCAAACTGACACAGCTGGGGACCCCCATGAGAATAAGGAAAATAAGACAGACAAGTCAGCTCTCTATCTTATGGGGTTAAGAGCCACACCAGGAAATTAGGAGTTAAAAGGTAAACTAGCTTGCCAGGTGCAGTGGTACACACCTGTAATCCCAGCAGCTCCGGAGGCTGAGGCTGGAGGAAATAAAGTTCAAAGCCTGCCTCCACAACAGCAAGGGACTAAGCAACTCAAATTTACCAGTCTGAGCCTCCAAAATTTCTGATAAGAAGTCTGCTGATAATGGTATTGAGGATCCCTCATATGATACAAGTCACTTCTGCTGATTTCAAGATGGTTTCAGCTAGGTGTGGTGGCACACACCTATAATACCAGTTCCTCCAGAGGCTAAGGCAGGAGAATTAAACATCTGAGGCCAACAACTGTGAGACTCTGTCTCAAAATAAAAAGGGCTGGGGATGTGGCTCAGTGCACAAGGCTACGGGTTCAACTCCCAGTACCAAAAAAAAAAAAAAAAAAAAAGATTCTCCCTGTTGAAAGCTTGATTATATTTGGAAACTTGTGTTGCCATGGGTCTCGGAGTTCTATCCACAAGTTCACTGAGCCCCTTGGATGTTTTTATTCATCCTTTGTCAAAGGTGGGTCATTTTTGGGGGGGTGGCAGTGTGCTGAGGGTGCTTTACCAGAGAGCCACATCCCAAGCTCTTTTATTTATTTTGAGACAGGGTCTCACTGAGCTGCCTCCACCACCTGGGTCTCTGGGATTACAGGTGTATGCCACCATGCCCAGCTTCATTCTCTTCATATATTCTTGCCACCCCTCTCACCCCCTCCAGGACTCCCAGAATGCATGTTGATCCGCTTAGTGCAACAGAGGTCCCTTGAGCTCTCTGTTCACTTTTCAATCCTTTTGTGTTCCTCAGACTCAGTAATTTCCACTGGTATAACTTCACAGATTTTCTCCTCTGCTCAAATCTACCTTTGTGTCACTCTAGCAAATTTCCATTACAGTTATCAAACTTTTTTTAAATTTTTATTTATTTATTTTTATTGTTTAATTTTCGGCGGACACAACATCTTTGTTTGTATGTGGTGCTGAGGATCGAACCCGGGCCGCACGCATGCCAGGCAAGTGCGCTACCGCTTGAGCCACATCCCCAGCCCCAGTTATCAAACTTTAAGCTCCAGAATCTTTATTTATTTTTTTGTTTTTGTTTGTGGTGGTTTTGTGGTATTTGTTGTTGTTGTTTGTTTTGTTGCTTTTTTTTTTTTTTTTGGTCTATTGACATTTCCATTACGTGGAACCCAAG